ATGTACTTCTCTGATGGATTCTTCAAATTCTCACTTTCATTTGCTCTCTTAGTTTTTGCAATTGGGATTGATACCTTATAATGCATTCTCATGGACTTTCCAGTTGAAGATCGAAGTGATTTTGATTGATCTCTGGCTAAGGAAGGCAACTTTGTGAGTAGATACAAAGAGTAAGCCCAGCATTGGACCGGATGTTGTTGATAAATAACATTGAGATGCCTTCAACAGCTTTTCGTCGATCTTCGTCTCTAACACTACTGAAGTTTTTCTTGAACACCTTTTCGATGCCACCAGCTTGGAGAAGTTTTGCCCCAAGGATCAGCTTCCCCTTAACAGTGTCTGTTATCCTTGGCCTTAATCTCACAGCACCATTTTCTTTTTTTTGGTGGTTTATTTAAAGTAGGAGATAGATTGCATTGGGAAGTGCCCATTTTGTTGAGCAATGATTCAATAAAACTGCCCAGTTGTTGATGGGAACCAGGCTTGATTTCATCTGATTTTGCTTCATATCTAACTTCCTTTAGTTCTTTGTATATATTGGCAAGGATAACAAGAAATTATCTTTGCTAAACCCTAAAGGGTGAGTAGAATGGAATGAACTGATTTCTGGTGATACACCTGATTCTTCCATAAGTAATATGTATATATATATATATATATATATATATATATATATATATATATATATATATATATAGGTTAAGTTGGCAGTTGGTGGATCTTAAGTTTTAGTCCCAAAAAGTTGCATTATTTATAATTCCTTTTCAAAAATTAAAAAGGTGCCATGCAACGGTTGCTAATATTTATATATAATTATTTTTGTAAAAGATAGTTATGAATAGGAAAATATATATTATATGTAGTCTTATGCTCTACTTCCAACTTTTTACTCCACACATAAAATTTTGATGAAGACACTCTGACAGGAGTCCACATGAAAAAAATATATATATATAACCTATCAGCACTCACCACATCATGGAATAAATTTGAAGGAGTAAAATTTTAAAATACATATAATAGAAGTCTCGTGAATATTAATTAGCATCGTAGTACTTAAATAGGGAGTTCTCTTTTCATTTCTTTTTATTATTATTGTTTTAAAGTCATATTGGCCCGTCTCAGAAAGTAGGACGATCTGATGACTCATCTTTTGTCTGCAGATTGCATGCATGCATGTTAGTGTATTACCGCAACGACGCAACTTTTTAGCTGTCTTAGTGGCTTTATTTCCGATCAAATTAAACCCACTACTTTTGTGCTAATCTTTGGTTGGCAAATAAAGCTTACCACATGCTAGTCACAAGTTGCAATTTGCAAAGTACATTAGTTTTATCACCTTTGATGTGTAAAGGTACAAATTTAAGACCAGTCTTCCAAATGACATCAACCCTGTCTGAGAAAAGGCTTTGCCACCAGCCGGTTCAGTTGTTTTTGACAATGCATGCATACCATCTCCAAATATATATTTAATTGATGAACTTCAGTTGCATGATCAAAAATTCCAGATGGTTAACCTACCTTTAGCAAGGCTAACAAACATTACCTTTTATGTATAGAAATCGACCAATCATTATACTATGGACCATGTATGGTTCACTTTGTAAGGTGAACCTACCCTAACATAAGATACATTTTTATTATATTAAAGGCACGTTTTTTAATACACTAAAGGTTCATTTTTTTAAAATACATCATTTGATTTATTACCAAATAATGTATCTTCGGTATAGTACACAAATAATATACATTTAGAATATTCAAAATATACATTTATTCATGGTCTGTAATATCAATCATTATTTCGTGGTCCATGAATAAAAAATACATTTTTAATATACTAAAGGTACATTATTTGAGTATTGGAGGTACATTGTTTTGTATACGTACTATCAAATAATGTACATTCAGTACATAAATAATTCGCCTTTAGTGAATTAAAAATGTGTATTTTATTCATGGTCAACACATAATTTGCCACATAATATAAGAGCAACTTCATCGATTGGGGTTTTTTCTACTAGTTTTTTGTGGGCCCCAGCTCCCACCTCAATATCCATGATGAATGTCTTTTTTTTTTTTTTTTTTTTTTGAGAAAATGATGAATGTCTTAAACTCATTCTTTTTCCTTACGCATTTTAGTATTTTTGCATGTTACTCATTGTTTTACGGAGTCAATTTGGTTACTTATGAAATTATTGCATTTGATGCATGGTTTGAGGCATAAGATGGACTATTTGATCAAGTCTTTGAAGTCACCTCAGCATGAGAGCACAATTGGATGACCAAAGTGATGATTTTTTCGAGTTTTGGACGCGTTGGGATGGATCATGGCGTGACCAGCGGTCAAGGAGAGCATCGGTACAAACACCAAAGACCTTGGAGGCCTCCCTTGATAGCTATGAGCTCAGCCATGGGCGTGCCCAAGCTCGTGGTTGGCAGGCAGAATGCAAAATGCATTTTGCCTGGTGGGCACGGGTATAGGCATGCTCGTGCATGTACCCATGCACACAATCCAATAGCTCTTTTTTTTTTTTTTTTTTTTTTTGCTGAGCATAGGTTCGGTCTTGCCTGTGCCCAGCCTCTACAACATTAAAAAAAACTTTTTGCTTTGTTTTAAAGGGAGAACTCTTTACACCAAAAACACGTAAAACTTTCATTTCCCTTTCATTCCCTAGTTAGGTTTAGCTCTAGAATAGCTTAGAACAGAGTAAATTTCTTGTTCCTTTCCATTTCCAAGGTCGATCAAGAACACGTTGCAATCTTGGATTTCAAGACTTCAATAGAGAAGTTTTCTTATTCATCTCTTTCCTTTGCTTTTCATTATGCTTTTAATTACTCTTTTAGTATGTTGTTTCTATTGTTATATTATGAGTAGCTAAGTGTTTTAGGACTAGGATTTTGTTTGATTTCTTTGCTATTATGCCTATTTGAGTTGTATTGCATAAAGGGGATTATTTGGGTGTTCTAGCAGGGTTTGTTGTCTGAATTGGGTTTGTTGTGAAATTGTGTATAATTGTTGGATCCCAATTATATGCTTTTTTGGGAGTGTATTTGTCGCTACGAGAGTAGAGCTTGTACAATAGCCACACATTCACACACTTGATGCCCAATACGATAGTATTTCAGGCGTTAAGGAGAATTTATGCCTTGTGTTCTTGTTGGGAAACTTTGGGTTGAATTGCCATGAGAGTGTAGTTCAAGGTGAAGTTGCAAGTCCAAATAGCTACGAGAGTGGTATTTGGACAATGATGTGTATCTCACTTACCATATACCTTGATTTAATTATCTAATCGTTAGTACAATATTTGACATCTTAGCTTGAAACAACTAAATCTCGATCCTTTGTTTTACTTGTTTTATTTTCTATTTGCTTAATCATATCAACCCAAACTATTAGCGATAGTCCAAAATGGTAGTTTTAACGTGTGCTTAACTCCACTTTGCATCATTTCCTAACATTACATGAGTCATCTCCAGAGGAACGATATCTTAAAACTTTACTATAATTTGATACTTAATAGTTGTGTAAAAACATCTTATCAAATTTGGCACCGTTGCCGGGATGGCTGGGTTATGAATGTTTTGTGGTAGTTACCATTGGTGAAAGGCTATTCTAGGAAACTTGACCATTTTTTTTCTTTGTTTTTATTTTTGTTTTCTTAATTACCATTTGCTCTAGTTTGCTTCGTTTGAAGGGACATTCTTGAACTTATATGCACACAAGATCCAAAGAAGTTGGAGCTTGCAATAACCACTTGACTTGGAAATTGAAAGAGGTGTCAAGTAAAGGAGAAGGGAGCATCGTGTCATTCTTCAAAAACAAAGGGTAGCCATGGAGAGCACAAGCCATTTTGTGTGTTATTAGGGTCTATGTTTTTGAACAATTGTCCTTCGGAAAGGACTTATTATGGTTTTTGCGTACTACTCTTTAATGATTAAGTTTTTAGTTGCTTAAATATTTTTATTTCATTTTGAGTTGTATAGTTTAAAGTGTTTTGTCAAATAATAGTCAAAGGGGAGTTTGTTAGTGTTTAGTCTTGTAAAGCCCAACTTTGTAATAATTGGCAAATAGATAGGTTAGGTCTAGTGCTAGTTAGTGTGTTGATTGAAGAACAGACTGATCAGATTAGATCCTTCACCAGAGCCTTTGGAACTAGCCGTTGGGAACTACACCACCTTAGAATATCCTTATCTCTCTTTAACACCTCAAGGGTAATTAAGTGGTTCTACATATGATATTATGGGATTACTTGTCTTACAAGATCATATTATTATATATACAAAGGGAGAGAAGCAGCATCAACAACAAGAAGAGTATTAGAACGCATGAACTTCAAGATTTGAAACGCCCTCTCTAAGATTTAAAAAGGAAATACTCTGAGAAATATCTTATCAAGATATTGTTGATGATCTAAAGTTTAAGAAAAACTTGAGAAGAAACTCTACAAAGTCTTTATCTACCCATACAATTGTGGTGCAGACGTGCAGTGGTGGGTGAGTGAACGAGACGGATAGCAACAATGTGGATCTCCAAAAGGAATTTTGAACTACTGAAGCATGGATCTCCGGCCTCGACAATCCTCTATAGTTTCATCAAATTGGTCGGGTATATCACACGAATTACGGTTAGCGATAAACAAGAAATCAAACAGTTGTGTTACATTAAGTAAATAACCAAGAGTGCTTATCTGGAAATAGTGAAAATTACATGTATAATTTCAAGTAATTATAACATTGTTATAAATTTTCAATATGTGAATTGTCGATAAATAAATTAAAAATTAGAGGTTAATAAATTATGTCAATATAATACTTTATGAAGTTAATGTATTAGGTTTATGAACTTGCAGTATTACGTTTATATACCTTCTAAATTTATTGTATTGATTTAGTAGAGTCTTATTATTTACTTATTAGTATAATGATATGGTTGTATTCGATTTACGTTTATTGTAACACCACTGCCGAATGGTAGTAGGGAGGAGTCCGAGTTTGTGATGGAGGTAGTGGCAAAAAGGCGCCAGGAGGGGTATGCAGATGAAGGGGAGCGACGGGTTGGTAACAATGGAGATGTGACTATGGTGGATCTCTCAAAAAACATGTTTATGGCGGGAGTTGGATCACAGCCCCGCCCGTCTTCATGAGTACCCTCAGTTGGAACTGTCGTGGCTTAGGCAATCCACGAACATTTCAACAGATAGTGGACTGGGTGTCCAGTAAGAAGCCAAAGTTTGTTTTTCTTATGGAGACAAAGGTGGGACAGAGTCATGCAGAGAGACTTCGTGTTAAGCTGGGTTATGAGGGTTATTCTGTGTAGACAATACGGGATTGAGTGAAGGATTGGCTTTGCTATGGCGCAAGAATAACACGGCAAGATTACTAAGTTACTCAAAGAATTATGTCGATGTTGAAGTTATTATGCCTGGGGTCGCTCCGTGGCGAACGGCAGGATATTATGGCTTTCCGGAGCGTAATAGACGGTTTGATGAGGGGACAGCAGACTGGTTGGAGGAGAGGCTGGATAAGGTGCTTGTTAATGAAGCCTGGCGAAGTTTGAATGCACAGGCTAGTGTGTTAAACTTGTTGACATGCAGGTCTGATCACTCAGCATTGTTCCTGGGGATTCGGGATTGTATAAGGGGTGGCAGACGGAGAACGAAGACTTTCAGGTTTGAAATATCTTGGCTACATGATGAGGGGTGTAGGGGAGTGGTGGAGGGAGCATGGGAGGAGGGGAGAAATATAGGAATGCAGGACTGCCTACCGTTATGTGGGAAACGACTCACTAGCTGGGGAGGGGACCGGTTCCATAAGTTTGGGGAGCGGATTAAGCAGCTGCGGAAAGAACAGGATCAGTTGAGAGGAAGGCGGGATTCGGCTTCTTTGGCCGAGTTTCGTCGTTTGGAGGCCGAATTATGTAAGTTGGAGGCAATTGATGACTCTTTCTGGAGGCAAAAGGCGAAGCAGCACTGGCTGCAAGGTGCGGATGCCAACACCAGTTTCTTTCACAGGTATGCTTCTGACCGTAGAAAGAAAAATACTTTGAATAGAATAAAAACTGCTGATGGGGTGTGGGTTGAGGGGAATGCAATGAATCAAACTATTATGGATTATTTTAATGGGGTTTTCAGTTCGGGCAGCTCCCCGGATGAGGACCATACGTTATTTGCCACGATACAGTCTCGGGTAACCCAGGCTCAGAATGACACCCTTCTTTCCCCTTTCACTTGTGAGGAAGTTAAAGATGCTTTATTTGCTATGTTTCCCGATAAATCCCCAGGACCGGATGGAATGAATCCGGGTTTTTATCAACACTTCTGGGATGTGGTAGGAAGTGATGTTTCTGCCTTTATTATTAACTGTTTGAATACTAGCTGTTTCCCGGAAGGTTTGAATAGTACAAATGTTGTTCTCATTCCAAAAAAAAAAATTGCCAGAATATGTAACTGATCTTAGGCCAATTGCGTTGAGTAATGTGGTTTACAGGGTAATGGCGAAAATGATAGCGAATAGAATGAAGCCTTTGATGGAGAGACTGATTTCTGATTCCCAAAGTGCCTTCATACCGGATAGGCTAATAACGGATAATATACTAATAGCTGCGGAAGTAGGCCATTATTTGAATAGAAAGCAATGTGGTATGGTGGGATGGGGGGGCCCTAAAGCTTGATATGGCTAAAGCTTATGATAGGATGGAATGGGTGTTTTTGCGAAAGATGTTAACAGCTCTGGGGTTTAATGTAAGGTGGATTGATTTGATTATGTATTGTGTCACTACGGTCTCGTATGAATTCTTGATTAATGGTGTCCCGTCGGGCCGAGTAATTCCTACCAGAGGTTTGAGATAGGGAGATCCACTCTCCCCGTATTTGTTTATAATATGTGCAGAGGGATTGTCTATTCTTTTGCAGCAAGCGCAGCAACAGGGCAGAATACATGGCTGCAGGGTAGCCAGGGGAGCACCTCCTATCTCACTTGTTTTTTGCAGATGATAGTTTGCTTTTCTTTAAAGCAAATATGGAGGAGGCTGGGGAGGTGAAGCGATGCCTAACGGAATATGAAGCACTATCTGGCCAGGCGGTAAATTACCACAAATCCAATGTGTGTTTCAGTAAAAATACTACGGAGGAGTGTAGGGACCAGGTGGCGCAACTTTTGGGGGTCCCCAAAGCAATCAATTTTGGGAAGTATCTTGGCTTGCCCTCGTTTATCGGACGGAAGAAGAGAGCAGTTTTCTCATATATTGAGGACAAGATAAAGCAGAGAATAGGTACATGGAATAAGATATTGTTGTCCCACGCAGGTAAAGAAATACTCTTGAAAAGTGTAGCACAATCAATGTCTACCTTTTTCTATGAGTGTTTTCTTACTCCCCGAAACAGTATGTCTAGCAATTCAGAGGGCGATGAATAAATATTGGTGGGGATCGGGAACGGACCGCCGTATTCACTGGAAAGCATGGGACAAGTTATGTGTCCCAAAGAAATATGGAGGGTTGGATTTCAAGGACCTGCGAGCCTTTAATATGGCAATGTTGGGTAAGCAGGGATGGAGATTCCTTGTAAAGCCTGAATCACTGGTAGAAAGGGTTTACAAGGCCAGGTACTATCCAAAAACATCTTTTGAGGAGGCAGCTTTGGAAAATAATCCGAGCTTTTGTTGGCGGAGTATATTTGCAGCTCATAGTTTAATTTGTGGTGGCATAAGACGGAGGATAGGAAATGGGAATGATACTTTAATCTGGGGACACCCATGGCTACCTGATGACCCTGATCCAATGATACAAACTAATATGCCCCAGGAATTGGCAGGTTCAAGAGTGGTGGGTCTGATTGACCAGGATACTGGAACTTGGGATCCCCATATACTCCGGGACTTGTTCACACCTGATGATGTGGCGCGAATTAACCGTATACCTATATGCCCAGATTACTCAGACACATGGTATTGGCAAGGGGACCCAAATGGAAACTACACGGTTAAGGGTGGTTACAGGCTTGTTGTTGGAAATTATGCACACAGTGTTGGGGGGTTTTGGTGATTGGCTCCACGTATGGAAGATGAAGATGCCACCCAAGTGGAAATTATTTTTATGGAAAGCATTGAGTGGTGTCCTCCCCACCACTACTAATCTCATAACGAAAAGAGTGGAAATTGATCTAGCATGTTCTATGTGCACTACTGATCATGAATATATAATGCATGCCCTTTTATCTTGTGTTTTCTCGCAAACTGTATGGCGGGAATCTTCATTGCCTATTATGCATGTTGTGGCCGATTCCTTTGAGACTTGGTTTGTTGTGATTATGAAAACACTCACCTCTAACCAACTTGTTATGGCAGCCGCAGTTATATATGGCGGGCGAGAAACCAGGCGGTATGGGAGCATACATTACCCTTGCCCCGGAGGGTAGTCAATGCCGCAAGGGCTGCAACCCAGGCGTGGGGCTCGGTGCATGGAGTGACGACGACAGCGCAGCCTTCCATCTCTGTTGGCAGTGGCGGGACTGGACTGCCCAGGGCATATGTAGACGCCGGGTTTCATGCGTCGACAGGAAGGGCAACGGCAGGCGTGGTTGTGCTGTCCAATGAAGGCCAATACATGTCAAGTTTCAGTATGCAGCTACCCGATTGCCTATCTCCATTGATGGCGAAGGCTTTGGCATGTAAAGAGGCTCTATCATGGTTGAAGGAAAAAGGAATACTCTCGGTACAACTACACACGAACTGCCGCAATTTACAACACCTTTTAACAACACAAGCCACACGGATGCGCTCCTAGGCTATATCATTGATGGATGCAGGACTATTTTGTCAACTTTTAATTTATGCCCAGTTATTTTTGTTCCTAGACTAGATAATCTATGGCTCATACTTTAGCATCTCATGCTTTTTCTTAGACTCATGTGATGTATTGGGATTCTATCGTCCCTCCGGATTTTGTATTCGGTTTACGTTTAATTATAGTTTTGACTAAATGTTTGGCATGTAATTATAATCATATATGATATAATTTTAATATATATTTAGTTTAACATTAATAAGTTTTTATTACAGACTCAATGTATTAATTAATTTTATAAACTTAAAAGGTGCCTGCCATTTCCCTTGTGGTCTGATGGCATTCGAGTTGGACTTTCAAATTAAATGGAAGGTCTCAGGATTGATTCCTATCCCATGCATTGGAGGTGAACTTGGAACCAGGTAGGAACCAAGTGGGGTGGGGTACCAAGGTGTTTAGGTTGCTCATTGTTTTAGTACCAATTTTAATCCACACTATTACTTTAGTACCAAAATTCATCACGTCGATCACCCATCTATTTAAGACATTCCGAAATCTAAAAATTTTAAGGGCATTTTCGTCCTTTTCAACTTAAGATTTCAATTTGAGCATAAATAGATGAATTTAAGCCCTAAGATCGATCCTACTTCGCAGTTCTCCTCCTCATCCTACCTTAATTTGAGTAAGAAAACTGCGAATTGGGATAGATCTTAGGGCTTAAATCCCTTTAATTTATTCATGCTCAAATAGGGATCCTAATTTGAAAAGCACGAAACTACCCTTAATAATTTCATATTTCGGCATGTCTTAAACGAAGGTGTGACCCGTGATGAATTTTGGCACTAAAATAATAGTTATGGATGAAAATTGGTACTAAAACAATAATTGTGGATGAAAATTGGTAGGAATTAAACATGTGGACCAAAACTGTCATTTTGCTAATACTCGTGAGACCAAAATTGGTATTTGCTCTCAAAAAATTAGACTCTACTTGAATTACAATTAAAGCCTACCAAACTGGCTGGGCTGTGAAATGATATGGAAAATGAACTAGTCTTTCTCATTCATATAATACATACAATTGTGAAACCTCATTGATCTGTCAAAACTTTCCAACAAAGAGGTTTTGTGACAATTAAGTCTCTTCCCAATAATTCATATTTACATTTTCGACAAAGCCAATTAAGCTTAGTTACATAATTCTGCCTGTCTGTGACAGCATATGCTGACACTGATTCTGAGAGATTATTGCCTCCTGAAGAAATCTGAGTGTTCTTTTATGATTTATGAACCCCATGAACCAGAACTCAAACTTGTCCTCTGTAACCACTTGCACATACTTCTGTGATGGTTTCTTCACATTGTGACTCTCATTACCACTCTTTATTTTTCTGAGTGGGATTGTCACTTTGTAACGAATTATTTCGGGTTTCCCATTTGCAGAAAGGAGCTTAATGGATCTCTCACTGCAGAAGGCCACCTTATCAGTGGAGATGAACAGAAGGCCTGCTATGGGACCAGCTGTTGTTGATAAATAGCACTGGCTAGTTTTGACTAGCTTTTCACCATCCTTCACAATGAAATTCCTCTTGAAGATTTTGCCAACTCCTCCTACTTGAAGGATTTTGGCTCCCAGCCTCAATTTTCCCTTTATGGTTTCTGTGATCTTGTGTCCAAATGTTACTGCACAATCAAATTAGTGTTAGGATCAAATGTTAGTTTACTACTATACCAAAAGTTATAGCTCACAGGAAAGGCGCAAAGAGCCAAATTAAAGACTAATTGTTGAACTTGGCCCCCCAATAATTCTCCCTTTAATTCCCCTTCCTAGCACTTGTCAGTTTAACTACACAGTTTTTGCTGGGAAGGCGCACGGACCAATTGCTAGACTTGGCCGCCCAAGAATTTTCCCTCTCAGCCCCTGTCAGTCTTAAGTCTTAACTGTACAGTTTACAATTTCCCCTCTCAACACTTGCCAATCTTAATTGCACAGCTTTTGCTGTTGTTGGGAAGGTGCAAGGACCAATTGCTGGACTTGGCCGCCCAACAATTCACCCTCTCAACACTTGTCACTCTTAAGTGCACAATTTACTATTCCCCCTCCATGCACCTATTAGTCTTATACCACTTGTTAAGATCAAGCGTTACCACTACGCCAAAAAAGCGCAATTTTATTTACTTATATACTGCCACCAAATTTTCGAAAGGCAGAGTACTAGACTTGGTCCTTTACTGGTCTCGACCCAACCAGCCCCTAGCCACCAATTGTTAAACTTGGCCCGTTCACCGGCCTCCGCCCAACAATTAGCAACACTTTTTCTCTTCTGCTACATAACAAATTGGAAGTACTATATATGCATGAGTTTATATTTTTGTCTAAGCAAGTGAATGGAACTTACTTGATCTAATTTTTTTTGAAGTTTCATTGGATAAAGTCAGGACTTGGCGTCGGCCTTCTCCATCATGCAAAATTCTTCTCTGAGAGTTCTGAAAGGAGCATATTGCGGCTGAGCTGATCGGAATTCCAACGTCGATGTGGCTCTTTCCGGCGGTTCTTGCATAGCTCTGTAGCAGTGGATTCATTTTCAATAATGAGTGTTTGTTTTGCGATACGTCCGATTCATTTTCTAAGACCATATTTATATAGGAGAAAATGGTTCCCTTTGCTTATTTTCGGCTGATATAAAAGCATTACTTTATGATGCAGCATACTTACTTTCTGATGTAAGCTATTCCTAATTTAAGACTGAAATAAGAAACCATTAATTGTATCCAAAAGTTGCAATGTACTCATAGATTTGGCATGCCACTATTCAATAGCATTGTCATTTCACTTATCAAAGTAGTACCAAAATCAAATCTCTGCAAAATTGAAAAGAAACTCATAAAGAGAATACCAGTCTACTTGTGCATTTTATTCAAAAATATAATGTTACCCTTTTGCTAATATCTTGATTAAGATCAAAATCAATAATATCTATTCACCGATTTGATTGATGAACTTCGGCTTCCGCCCAACAATTTCCCCTCTTAGCGCTTGAACCAATGACCTGGTTCTAATACCACTTGTTAGATCAAACGTTTACTACTATACCAAAAGCTATAGCTCACAGCGAAGACGCAACTTTATTTCTTTATATACCGCCACCACACTTTGGAATGGTAACCGACAGGGACGGAGCCAAAGTGGGGGGCAGGGGGGTCAGCTGCCCCCCCTCACCCCACCCCCACCCCACCCCACCCCATATATAATCTTTGTAGGTATATATGTATATATAGTATAGGTTTTAGTATTAATATAAAAAAAATAGTAAATGTTAAAGAGTAAGGAGTTAGATTAGTTGGTAAGGCATGTGTTTTTTAATAGGAAAGGTTTTGGGTTCAAATCTTTGCATTAATATAGTTATACATATTTTTGAGTCCTTCTCCTATGGCTTCAACACAGTCATTTATTTAATATGTGCTTTCTATTCAAATTATTTTATCAAATTAATTATGTTCCATATTTTGTTATGAATATTTTTATAAAGTTTTGATGTGTTTTATTTTTCGCACATATTCAACAATATTTACAACTATATTTCTTTAAGTAATAATGGTTATAAAAAAAATTCTTAGGTAATTTATTTATTTTTTTAAAATTATCTCTTTTGTTTTAATGTTTCGCTTTTACTGGAAATTTTTTTTGAATTCGTCCTACTTCTTCGCCCCCCTCAATCTAATTTCTGGCTCCGTCCCTGGTAACCGAATACCATCACATTACATGGTAGTTGGCATATAAAAGGAACCTTGATTGAATGGAATCTCATTTCAGAATATTCATTTGGTAGACCAACTTCCATCCCTTTTGTCATCATGCTAAAAGAACTAAGAAACCATTACCAGAAAACTCTATTTTGAGTAGCTGATCTGATGCACAACCTCTAGAGTGCGTGCGCGCTGTCAGGTCTAAACAAGTGAAAAGCAGTATCTTCTGACTCAGATTCTTGACACTGTAAATATTCTAACCAACACCCCCACTCCTATTGTTCAGGTGATTGCACCAAAATGTATATATTAAAAAAAAAAACTTTTGAGTTGGCAATTGGCATGCTTTCTTTCTGGTGCAACACTGTAACCTAGCTACTTTTGATGACTAAAAAGATAAGATTGACATGCAAGTGTTACTTAGCAGCTAAGGGATCGGAGGGCTAGTAGAACTAATAATATAAAGTAGAGTTAATGCTATATGGGATCCTCTGAGTATAGTGGTTTTGTCA